AAAACAATTACTCAACAAACCTATGAAGGATATTCATAACTTTCCAATCACCAGTAACACCACTAGTCATCCGAATCTTTTGTGCAATGCTGGAAACAGCTGCAAGAATTGCTGCTCCATCATTTCTTTGGAGTGCAGAACTGCCTAAAACCACCATTGGTTTTTTAGCTTCCTTTAGGACCTATTAAAAAAAAAAAAAGAACTTTGATTTAAAAATATTATAAGTAAACTAAAAACCTATCCAAACTTACATCTACAATACATATTGTCCCAAACTTTAGGTCTAACATGAATATCTTTGACTTGCTAGCCAACATACATAATATAACCAGATTTAGTTTAATCAAAAGCATTTTACCAATGCTACTGTGAAATCAGATAAAACAGATTTTTTTTAAAGTAAGCATTAGGAATGAAAATTCTAGCCAACTGTCCTTTGGTCAGAGTGACTACAGGCAGGTCCCAGAAAAATCAGGAATATCCCCAGAGGTTTGGATGTTACTAAAGAATAGGAAAAACCTGAAGTACCATAGCTACTATCTCTTATCTACTCACCACATTGCAGACAGGGAGGTAGGAAAAGCATTGATTACTAAGAATGTAGAATGCTTAAAACTTTAAGGGCTTTGCTTTAAACCACAGTAACTTTCTGAATGCCAAAAACTGAGGGGGAGTGTATCCCAAGAGTAAAGAAAACTGCAGATGTGGTGGAGGACGGACAAATAAGAAGTAAAACTACACACTATACAGCTTATTCTTCCACCCATCCTCTATATCATTCTTCAATAAATAGCTGGCCACGATTATCAAAGAATCATTATGGGAATTAAGCTGAGATACTACAAAGAGGAGTGCATTCATCACAAGAGGAATTTCCCAAGGAAACGTGAATAGTTCAAAGAAATAATTTTTTTTCTTTTTTGCTCCCCCCACCCGTCAAAGAAATAATTTTTAATAGTCTCAAAGAAAATGAAAAGCAACATACTCTTTCTCACTTAAAAAGAGCTCAAAGAAGTAACTAAATAGAGAGTATCATATGGTAAAAGGAGACCTTTATCATGCAATTCAGGAAAGAACTGGAAGAGAAACAAATTACAGAAATGAACATCATTCTAGAAACAATAAAAAAACAAAATAAAAAATGCCTGTAAATACAGGGACAGGAAAGACAGGATATAGGAAATGACACAAACTGGGGGAAAAAAAAAACAAAAAAACAAGGACAAATGACAGATATGAAAGACAGAAAAGGAGATCCAATATCTGCATTGTTGAGTGTTCTTAATGAAGAGAACAGAACCAATTAATGGAAAATATATTTAAATCTATAATAGAAAACTTTCCTTAAGAACACTAGTCACCTATTAGATAGGGATGGGACTAGAGAGAACTACTTTTTAATTTGTTTTTTCTTTGCAACCTAGGAGCAAAGATTTAAGTTGCCCTGAATATACACTCCCTACTTTTTTAATATTCTTGATCTTTTAATCATGATATGTTGTTCC